TCCAGTGCAATGACGCTCCCGCGGGAGTAGACGTTCCAGCCCTGTATTCCAGCCCTAAACCTAACCTTATCCCTAGCCCTGACCATAACCTTATTCCTGACCTTAACCAGGACTTTAATGATGTTAAATAGCGTGTTTCTAAGCGATTTGAAGAAAAAGAGCGAACATTTGTAGGTTCAGTCCAGACGGTTCTCATATTTCCTCTTTTTCCGAGGTCGTCATTTAGGAACGTGGTGGGTAGCCGAAAGCGTAATATGGTGACGATTTGTCACCTAGCGTAAAATGTTGCGCTTTGGGAGTGAGAACGGGTTGCAATGGCATACGATAACGTAGACGAGGCATACTTGATAGAGCTAGTGCCACCTCTTAGTGACACCATGAAACTTCCCCCAAAAATGGCACGCTATGAGTCAGAGAAATTTCAACCAGCATTTTGTTTTTGGTCTTCTTTGTTTTCTTTGATGTTGGCTGTTGCAAAAGTGTGAAACCCTCCAATCAGTTCCCACTTTGTCTACTGTCCAGTTGGTCTCCTGGTACAAAAAGATAATAGTGAATACTATTATTTAACGATTTCAGGTTCTTACATCCTGAAACACCAACAGAATATTTGTCATTAAAATATTCCCATTAACACTTAACAGGAATTTACTTGCTTGGACAAACTCGGACAGATAGCTGCTTGTGATTATGCTGCATCTCCCTCACTATTGCACGAAACACCTCGTGGTTTGGAAAAACTTTAAAGATACCTTTTGCATTGCTGTGACTTTACAGTTTGAACCACTGATACATATATTGTATATTTACTGAGCGCTTCATTATTTGAAACCTTGTTAAAAAATGAAGCGGTATGCTCAATACTACATGCCGACTTTGTAAAATACAAAAGAACTAACAAAATACTAAGATTACAATGTGATGATGATGATGATGATGATTATAATCCAACCCTGTTTCCCATCCAGCTGGGATAATGGAGACACAGAGAAGATGAGTCCTTGGGATATGGAACCCATCCCCGATGATGGTAGGAATCTGAAATGCGGTGCTCATCTGAAAAACAACAAAGAACTCATTCCTTCAGTTTTAACAGCTTTCAGTTGTGACAGTTTTGTCCTTATGTCTTTGCAGCCACGTTTCCGGATGAGCTGGGCCAGAGTGTTCCGCTCATCGAGGAGGAGCAGAAGGAGCTGCTGTACGTTCCCCTGGACGGTGAATGGGGCTGCCGCACACGCGCCGAGGAGTGCGAACGCATCATCAAAGCCATCGACCAGCTCTGCACGCTCGGTATGATGTCACGAAGCGCCCGTTAACATTAGCCACGTAAGCGGTGATATGAAGTTCCGCCGTGAGGGCGCATTTCTTGTAAGGTAGCAGCTGGATGACTCTTCCCAGTGTGAGTCACCACTCTTACCCCATGAGTCAGATGAACCAGCCAGGGGCCAGGATCATATGGTCGAAGGAGTAAGCTGCTAACACAGTGAACTAAATGTTAAGGTGCTTTCATGAATTCCCGTTAAGTGATGTAATGACACATTAGGAACAGACTGAAGGCCTGCTAGTGGAAGAAAGATGGTGTGATGGCTCCCTCTAGTGACAGTTTGGGGATTAGACACAGACTCACACACAAGCTCTCACTGCACAGCACGCTTGGCCTCAGATTTACTTAGCAGGGCAAATTGGTGTGATGCTGAAGCTGCAAGTATGTGGGAGTGGCAGGTTATATGGCTAATTTATGAACACACAGTCAGCCAGCTATATTGATTATAACATATCTATATAAGTCTGTATTCATGTCTTCCTTAACCCTTTAAGACCGACCATAGAACCAAGTGCGCCAGAGCTTATATTATATTTTTACATGCTGTGGAGCCATTTTTGGGAGCATTTCAAGTTGATATACATCAATACAACCATTATAGCCCAAATTTTAATAATATGTCTGCATTAAGTGCATAGTAATTACATAAATTGCAAAAA